CATAGAAAAGGAAGGGAGAAAAAAAGGAGGAAAGGCCATTCTCTGTAACTTTTTCAATGTTTTTTTCTTTGGCTGTGAAGATCTTAAGACGCTTTTGTATTTTAGGACTGTAAATCGCTACTTGAGCAAGGTAACACCGAAAGTGGAATTTATCAGATCTCACTGCCCGATATAGGCAAATTCAGTGTTCTCTGTGATATGGAAAGCGATGGAGGTGGCTGGACGGTAATACAGAAGTGCGTGGAATGAGAACTTTTTAGTGCAACACAGTTTTCATTTTTTTGGCCAGCACTGTTGGTATTAATTTTCTTTAAAAATATGAATTGGTTGCAGCGCTGCGCCGAAACACTACATCTTTGACTGAAACAAAAAAAAGAATCAGTGAAATTTTTAATTATCTGGAGATTTCCTCATTAATTAACGAAGTGTGTGGATAAAACTTTATTCCAGAAGAATAGATAAAGCGGTGTATTTTGCAAATCGCACATGGAGCGAATATGAAGATGGATTTGGCGATTTCCAGACTTCCTTCTGGCTTGGCTTAAAAAAGGTCGGTTTTTCATCGAAGTAACTTGTGTTTTCGCGTGCTGTAAATTATGCAACTTATGTTATTTACAACTTACTTCATTTTAATTGTAAGCTTGACCAGTTACGCCTCAGAGTTCAGGAAGAAGTGATGGAATTTCCAGCAGGCTGACCGCGCGGTCATGCAACTCTGATCACTTCATAACTGCTTAAAAAATCCAGCAAAGTGTCTAGGCTCTTTATTTTTTGCGGCATTTGAAATTTTTAGTGAAAGCGTGTCACAGGAATAACGCAAATTTTCGATTCTGAAATAAAGTTCCAGTCAATCGCATGAGTTAAGACATTTTTATAAAATATATGCAAACTGTTATTCTGGCGGATACAGTAGCGACAAGGAGTTTAAATCGTACAACAGTTGATGTACTTGAATACTTTAACTTTTTTAATCTTTTTATATTTCAAGTGTATCGAACTCAAGAATATTTTGCAATTAGATGAGGCTATTATAATCTCATGCCTGTAGCCTGAACTAATTTTACTTTAAAAAAAAGGCAGGCCGGAGTGATTTAGGCTGCTTTAGATTTCTTCGGCAGCTTAAGCCATTTAAAAAAATAATGTTGGTATGTGGGCTACAAAAAATTGCAGCATATTTATAGCTGAAAAA